ATAGAGGATAGAATAGAAATGGCGATCCGTATAGCAATAGAAGATAGAATAGAAATGGTGATCCGTATAGCAATACAGGATAGAATAGAAATGGTGATCCGTATAGCAATAGAATAGAAATGGTGATCCGTATAGCAATAGAATAGAAATGTTGATCCGTATAGCAATAGAATAGAAATGTTGATCCGTATAGCAATAGAATAGAAATGGTGATCCGTATAGCAATAGAATAGAAATGGTGATCCGTATAGCAATAGAATAGAAATGGCGATCCGTATTGCAATAGAGGATAGAATAGAAATAGCGATCCGTATAGCAATAGAGGATAGAATACAAATGGTGATCCGTATAACAATAGAATAGAAATGGCGATCCGTATAGCAATAGAGGATAGAATAGAAATGGTGATCCGTATAGCAATAGAGGATAGAATAGAAATGGTGATCCGTATAGCAATAGAGGATAGAACAGAAATGGCGATCCGTATAGCAATAGGGGATGGAATAGAAATGGTGATCCGTATAGCAATAGAGGATAGAACAGAAATGGCGATCCGTATAGCAATAGAGGATAGAATAGAAATGCTGATCCGTATAGCAATAGAGGATAGATTAAAAATGTTGATCCGTATAGCAATAGAGGATAGAATAGAAATGGCGATCCGTATAGCAATAGAGGATAGAATAGAAATGGTGATCCGTATAGCAATAGAGGATAGAATAGAAATGGTGATCCGTATAGCAATAGAGGATAGAATAGAAATGGTGATCCGTATAGCAATAGAATAGAAATGGCGATCCGTATAGCAATAGAGGATAGAATAGAAATCGTGATCCGTATAGCAATAGAGAATAGAATAGAAATGGTGATCCGTATAGCAATAGAGCATAGAATAGAAATGGTGATCCGTATAGCAATAGAGGATAGAATAGAAATGGTGATCCGTATAGCAATAGAGGATAGAATAGAAATGGTGATCCGTATAGCAATAGAATAGAAATGGCGATCCGTATAGCAATAGAGGATAGAATAGAAATGTTGATCCGTATAGCAATAGAGGATAGAATAGAAATGGTGATCCGTATAGCAATAGAATAGAAATGGCTATCCGTATAGCAATAGAGGATAGAATAGAAATGGTGATCCGTATAGCAATAGAGGATAGAATAGAAATGGTGATCCGTATAGCAATAGAGGATAGTACAGAAATGGCGATCCGTATAGCAATAGAGGATAGAATAGAAATGGTGATCCGTATAGCAATAGAGGATAGAACAGAAATGGCGATCCGTATAGCAATAGAGGATAGAATAGAAATGCTGATCCGTATAGCAATAGAGGATAGATTAAAAATGTTGATCCGTATAGCAATAGAGGATAGAATAGAAATGGCGATCCGTAAGCAATAGAAGATAGAATAGAAATGGTGATCCGTATAGCAATACAGGATAGAATAGAAATGGTGATCCGATAGAATAGAATAGAAATGGTGATCCGTATAGCAATAGAATAGAAATGTTGATCCGTATAGCAATAGAATAGAAATGTTGATCCGTATAGCAATAGAATAGAAATGGTGATCCGTATAGCAATAGAATAGAAATGGTGATCCGTATAGCAATAGAATAGAAATGTTGATCCGTATAGCAATAGAATAGAAATGTTGATCCGTATAGCAATAGAATAGAAATGGTGATCCGTATAGCAATAGAATAGAAATGGTGATCCGTATTGCAATAGAGGATAGAATAGAAATA